ATATGCAGGTCCGGTACCGGTAAGCGTTACTGAATTTAATAATTAATTTTTTAATAATAATTTAATGTGGTTGCTAAAATAAATTTTAAGTGTAAGTAATATGTGGTTATTTAGTTGTGAGCCCAATGGTATTTTAATTTTAAACCTAATGTAGTCTCACTTATTTTCTGTTATAATTTACAGTACTTTGTAATATTATTCATACGATAATTATTGTATCTTTTATAAATATAATATATTATGATAATTGTAGAAGAAACTAAATTTTAAATAATTTAAAATTGTATTTATCAGTTAATAATATTTTAGATATGTTATAAATAATATTTCTATAATTTAAAAAAGGATTAAGCCGAGCCATTCCCATTTCAAGTATATTATTTCAGTACAGTAACTAGACAGTAGATTTTTGTGCAATTTACAGTTTGTGGTTACAAAATGATTAAAATCTACTTTAAATAATAAAATTAAATCTCCCACACATTACATACCAACAGCCCATTCGTATGCGTTGGGTGTCGGGCGCCTCCACTATACCCATAATCCTGTCAACGAACTCATTGGTGCACTCAATGAGCTTAGGCTCCGCCCTATTGCCACATTTCGCCGCCTTTACGTACTCTTGCATGAGAGGGGTGGGGCTCGTGAACAGGGACTGGGCCTCAGCGCCACAATAAGGCTGGAAACTTGTGCCAACACTACCGGCCATCACCTTGATCAGTAGTTTACCAAAATCAGATAGACAGCTCTCGAGATATCCATATATGAAGGGCGCCTCCCTCATGGCTGATGAGCACCATTGCCTCAGTTGGGCACCGGTTTCCGGTATGGGGTCCGGGAGGCCGAGTGTGAACATGCGCTGCACAATACGGTCCATACGCTCGTGGGCTGACTGGTCGCACCGGATGGTCCGGTAACTGTCCATGAGGGCCATGACGGGTGCGAACAGTGATTTCGGACGTACGTATGATTTGGGATCCGGTGTAGGGGTTTTGGCCAAGAGTTTGTCGCACCGGGCGTTTTGGTCGAAGTAGTCGCCGCACATGTCGGTGCCGGAGACCATCAGGTCGTCGACGGCCTTACGGTGCGTTTTGGTGCACTGTTTGGACTTACGGACAGTCCGTTGCGCACATGTCATGAATTTGTAGGCGTGGCTAAAGTCATAATATAATAATTAAAATCTTTTTCAAGTAAACTATATTCATATTTAATTATATAAATAAAGTTTATTTTATATTATTATTTATAAATCTTAGTTTTTTCTATTAATATCTATTTTTAAAATACTGTAAATGAAATTAACTTATTTAAATAACTAAATATTAAAATATTTGTCCAAATTTTTGGCCATTATTTATAGTATTAATTATTTTTTAACTTTTAAAGTATAACACATAGCTAACTTGTATAATTAATTATATTTAAAATAATCGAAAAATTAATATATCATTTTGTATTTATCTTGAAATCTATATAATTTATTTACGAGGGACTGTAATTTAAAAACTGTAATAACCAATTGTATATTCATATAACTAGCTAATATATCATATTAATAAAAAATTCTGGCCATGGTAAAGAACATTTTAAGTTTTTTAAACTGTTATTTTAAATAATTTTTTTATATAAATACACCAATTATCACAAAAAAGTGCTCATGGGAAAATATTTCAATTTAATTGTTATAATACTAAAAATTGTATGCTAATTATAAGTAATTATTATAGCTAATTTATTTAAATTTTTTATTTTAAATCACACTGATATTAAAATAATTTAATTAAACATACCAACATCCCATATTCATACGATCCCTTTCCCCCACTTGTGGCAACACCATAAGCACGTCCACA